GAAATACCACGCTACACTGGACAGTTCTGCTTCTTAAATCCTTTACAGATAAATAAATAATAAAACGAGAAAGTAAAATCAGAACACAAAAATAAATGCTGGAGATAATTAGGGAGCGAGACACAAGGATGCAGAGACACTAAAACGAGCCACTAAATGGTCAGATATACTTATTAAGTCCTAGGTCATGAACTCTCTCTCTCAGACATACACACAACAGCATGTGTACATGCACATTTGACTTCTCTCTGTGGTCACGCAAAACGGTGCCTGGAGCTCAGCCTCAGGGTCTTAAAGGTCATTATCTCTATGCCGCTTTAGAAGGTCGCCCAAAGTTCAGACACAAGCCTGACCATATTTGGCTCCTGGCTCTCTTAAAGGCTTAGAACTGAAATTTGAAATGATAGAGAGGGAGGGAGGGGGAAAAAACAGTAACTGGAATGTTCATTGGTTGCAGCTGGGCATCCTTGGAACAATATAGACCTGGGCTTAATGCAGGAAGTGTGTGTGGGTCTGTATATCTTTGTGTGCATGCATGTCAGTGTGTTTATGTGTGCATGAAGGAGATATTGGGTGAATATGGACCACAGTTTAGACATTTCCAGATACATGCGTCTGTGTGAGTGTAAAAAATAAACATATGCATGCGAGCTCCTGCGTGCGTGCCTACTTGTATGCCGGCACATGTGTGTGAGCAGCAGAGATATTAGAGCAATATGAGAAAGCTTAAGCTGGAAGTATGGGGCTACAGTATGAAACCGGTGTGTGTGTGGAAAGTTTTGGCTGAGCCGGCCAGAGCGGCAGTGAGGAGCTTTTTAGAAACAGCAAAAAAAGATCACATCACATTAAAAAAGTACACTCAAAGATTAGGACAAAAGTTCTCAAATGTGTTTTACGTCATTTTCTGTGGAACAACATATTCGAAATAATACACTTACCCATACAAAGTGACATTTAAAATCGGATCCTCACCAGATTATAAATACTGAGTGTGTCCCTTAACACAAAAATTGTTTGTATTTGTTGTATGCAATTGTTGCAAAATTGTTTACACTCAGAATTGCCCATGTATTTGGACACAGACGTTCCGTCTGAATGAGACTCCATCTCATGAGGAGAAATTATGTGTGTGGTTGCTTCCACAGTGTGCAGCAGATTAACAGAGGCAATGTTTTTGCTGCTTTTCTTGGTAACAGCATCATCTATTAGAAGTGGAAAATAACACAACACAAGTCTATTACAGCACTTGGTTGGATAATCAGCAACGGCAATTTTGCACACACTCAATCACTGCAAAACTGCATGTTTAAAATCAGTGTGGGAGTGTTTAACTCATTTCTCTACAAAGAAAACCCCCTTTTTTACACACTGAATAATTCCAATTGGAAAGTTTAAAAAGCGTGAGTCAAATTGATGTGTAGGTGTCCACTTCACAATCTAATGAACAATGAGTCCTAAATGAATAATAAATGCATCCAAAATGATTTGTATTTGTTTTCCAAGCATTGCTCCATTCAGATTCTTACTTTAGGAGCTCAAGCAGCAAACATAAGACGTTAAAACAAACACGGTTACTGCGGGACTGCATCAAACATCACACACAACAATCTTGACTCCTTTGAATAATTCAAAGATCTGTCGTTGCTCTTACGAAGGCTACACTTCACTCCCTGCATGCCTTTATCTTTCTCTCACACACACAGTCCTTTCTGCAACCTCATCTCTCCTCTCCCATCCTCAGGCTTTTTTCCATCCCCCTCATGCCTCTCTTGTCTCTCTCATTTCTTCTCTCCTCACATCCCCTCCATTCGCCATTCACATCCTCTCCTGCTCTCCTCCTCTGACTCCCCTTTTCTAATGCCAGCCAGCAGGTCTACAAAGTAGTGCTTTCTGTGTGCCAGCAGCAATTCCTGGAGGGCAGTCAGGCAAACAAACCCAGCCAGTGCCCGCTGCATGACTCACAGAGAAACAGCAACCGAGAGAGAGAAAGAGAGAGAGAAGGAGGTAGAATCATTAAGATGAGAGGGCAAAAGGATTTTAAGCTGTTAAGAGCTGTTGAGAGGGGGCAGGTTGGAAAAGGAGATTGAAAAAAAAGTGGAAAGAGAACGAAGGGCTGTAAGAGAGATTAAGAGGGGAAGAGACTGGGAGAGATGGGGGCAAACAGAGGGCAACCTGCGCGATCTTGCATGCACACGAGAAGAGCAGACAGGCACGCAGCTCAGCAAGGAGGCACGAAGAGAGCAAAATAACTCCTCCCTCTCTCTATCGCTCTCTATCTCCCTCCCCTCCCCCTATCTCAGCCGTTCCCCTCTTCTCTGCCAAAAAGAGCAGCTCAGCACAACAGTCTTACACGACACGGTGACCTGAGGCCGAGCAGAGAGAGAGAGGGTTGCACATGCAGGGAAAGGAAAGAAATGGGAGTAAAGTGTGTGCTTGTGGATGGGGATTCTGCATAAAAGATCTTTACATATAAGCTGTCAATCTCAGTGATGCTGTGTTGTGTTTAAATTGTGCTTTCTGGCAATTAATTTAAAATAATCTATTTTGAAATCAGTTTTCAGTGTTACTGCTCACAGTTCTTGTCAGGAGGGGCACTAGCTTTAATTTAAGGGTCCACAAGCCAAAAGGGGTTGGAACCATTAATTAAAACCAATTGTGTGGTTTAGAAGTCTTGAAGGGCTGAAGTCAGGATTTAAGACATAATGAGGTCATGAGTCGCTCAACACACACCCTACCACTCTGAGTTGCTTAAAGAAGCCAAAAGGAAGTATCCATATTTTATTTAGTTTGTGTTTCAGTAACTGTTAAAATTATGCCTTCTGTCAATTGTAATTCCCGACATGAAGCAGCATCTAATGCTGTTTTAAAGAGGTGGTATTATGGTTTTTGGCTTTTTCCCTCTCCTTTATTGAGGTATATCTTTTTTATCAATTGAATTAAAGTGATAATAATCTAATAATTGCTTGTTTGAGCTCCCATCTCCCACAGAAAACACTGCTCTGAACTGCCTGAAAACAGCTCGTTTGTAATCCAGCCTTTACTTCCCTTACTTGTGATGTCACAATGAAAATACGTGTCATAATGCTCGCTGAGCGACTAGTCCGACACGCCCTCAAAAACTCCAGTGGAAAAACACTGAGCTGCTGCACACACCTCTCCTCTCCCTTCCAAACACTAGCTACCCTCCAAGCAGTCGATGGACATGAAGTTGTTACTGTGATGTTGAGACAGAGCTCAGTTAAAACTCTATGGATGAAAGATACTTTTGTTACAGATTAACAACTCACCACTCTGAAACTCTTGCTCCAGTCCAAATTGCCAACCTGGTCGGCAACATGTAGCCTACAGCTGAATCAAAGCTGTTTACCGGCCTTTTGCTGACCTACCTTTCTCCGTAGCAATGTGCAGTATAACAAAAAATATGGTGTTTTTTGAAAATTAAACCATGTAAACCTGTTCTGGTACAACCATTAAATAAGATTCTGAACCTGAAAATGAGCATAATACCACCTCTTTAAAATCAAAATCCTGGCACTAAATGCTGAAGACTCTTTACCCGGTTTCCAGTCTTTGTGCAAAGCTAAGCTAACCGGCTGCTGGCTGCAGCCTTCATATTTAGCGTACAGATTTGAGAGTGGTATCATCTTCTCATGTAACTCACAGCAGCAAGGCAAATACGTGTACCTCCCAAAACATCAAACTATTCCATTAACCCCCCAAAAAAAAGAATAAAATAAATGAATAGTGAGGATGTGACGTGGTCATAGTCCTCAGCAATAGCTGTGCCTCTGGAAACAAATGAGAGTAAGACAGATTGAGACAAAGGAAGGTTAGATAAAAGGATTAGGCATATTGCAAGACAAGAGATGGGGTGAAAGATATGACAGTAGGGAGACGTTTTAGAAGTGAATGAGCTGCAGAGGAGGAGGAGGGTTGTTGAGTTCTTCTGCTGTACCCCATGTGAGCTGTCTATGTGCTGGGACAGACAGCTACCTCCGCCAGCCTCCCTCTGGACCGCATTAGACATGGTGCTCAAAGGATGGGGGAGGTGGCAGACAGAGGGAGGGCTGAGCATGGGAGAGTTCTTTTCTGATTTTAATACCACTGGACCAAGACAAGAACAAATAATCAGATGATCAAAACTCTCCTTGAAACCACTGGCTGAGGTTTCACGTAGCTCTTATTGAGACAGTGCAATCAACAGCATATGGCCGACAGTTACACTAAGTACTACCTCTCTCACTGCATGAACTTTTTTAAAGCAATTGTTTGACATTTCAGTAAATGTGCTTATTCGCTTTCTTGCGGAGAGTTAGATGAGAAAACTGATAACGTCGCTCACATCAGTATGGTAAATATGTAGCTGGAGCCAGGAGACAGTTAGCGTACAGTGGCATAAATTGTAAACAGGAGGAAACAGCTAGATTTAAAAAAAAAAACCCAGAAAAAATCACCTAAAAGCACATCTAAAGCTAAACAAGTTATGGCTTGTTTGATTAATCTGCACAAAAACCAAAGTGAAAAAAAAGATTTGTTGTCAGAGTTGCTTTGTTTCTTGGACGGGACTAGATACTGGTCTTGTTGCTGGAAATAGTCCAACAAAAACATTTTCACTGCAGTTTTTGTACAGGTATAACATGTGAATTAAAGACCTTTAGAGACAATACTGGTAGGGGGGTTTTATTACCTTTGAACAGGCTAGCACTTTCCCTATTTCCAGGATTTATACTAAGCTAGGCTAACCGTCTCCTGCGTCTAGCTTCATATTTATGGTACAAGAATGAGAGTGGCATCAATATTCTCATCTAACTCTCAGCAAGAAAGCAAAGTTTTCCAAAATGTCAAACTATTACGTCTCTTTTTTAACAGAAACAACCAGGATTACGAAAGCCTCTTTTATGCATTCTCAACAGTCTCCGAGGGATATTAGCAAAACACCATTAGCACTAAACTGCTAATGAATGAATTGACATCATTTGAATAAAGCACAGCACAAACTATTTTTTTCTGTTTTAGATTCTTTATTTAATCAATGTTACATTAAACTAACATAAATAAAATTTTTATGAACAAAAGGCACACAGTTCAAATATAAACAAAGAGAACGCCTGTACAGTATGTCTCAATAAAACATATCTACTGTCTCTGAGTGAGAGAGCGGTCCAAGAGAGATGAGTTTCAGGGGGTTTGTTGACAAAATGCTACTGTGCCGCCACCGCTGCAGCAGCATCGAGTCTCAGCGTGAAATTGTACACTCTTCAATCCCCCGTGAGGAACTAAAGCGGTGGGCGCGAAGGCAAAAACGGCAACCGGGAACAGCACTGGCTTCATGTGGAACCTCTGCCTGGAGGTAAACAGTATGTATGTCCATTTGTAAAAGTCCCACTGAAACCCATGTCCATTGTCTGTTTGAGGAGGCCACAAGATTCATGTCCACTAAATTAAAAGATTCAAACACGCAGCACATAGACTTGAAATAAAAAACAAAAAAAACATATGGGCCGGAGGCTGGGTAGACACTCACTATGATTTTTGTAACAGAATGACAGGGGTCAGTGTCGCCATGGTATCTCTATGGAAGCGTTTGATTGGTTGGTTACTGCTTCCTCACAATAATACGACCAGTTGGTCATTCACAGTACTGGCAGGACGCTAACTGCCTACTACAGCATTTGTCCTGATGTGGAGTTCATATACAGCCATACGACTAAGTAAAAATGATAAGAGGACTAGGTTTGGTTTTCCTGCATCTGCTCCAGATCAATAAGGTAGATAAAATCCTTTTGTGTCCGATGATCATCACTAGGCTCCTGTTCCCACTAGATAACAAAGTGTGGTATATGAGTCTAGTCAAGTCTTTTGTGGTCGGAGCTGTTGTCAGTTGTCATCCATCTTTGAACAATGGATCATACACAGATGTCGTACTTTGCTCGTCCAGTTTTGTCCAGTTTAATCCGGTTTGGATCAGTCTGTTCCTAAATCATTGAGTATTTGCAAACACGTCTTAGCCTGTTTTAACCTGTTTAGAGCAGCAGATGGGCGAAGCTTTGTCTAACAAAGTTGGTTAAAGCAACAGTGATCAAAAAGAAAATGTCAGCTTGTTATTGGTCTGAATTGTTCCTTTTCACCTTCAGAGGCAAACTCCGCCCATCTGGCACAGCAATGGACTAAAACAAACTATGAGTAAGTATTTGCAAACACAGACAGACCCAGATCTGATCCAGGGCTTAGACGGCAACGGTACTGGGTACCTCCTCGTACTGAATGATAAAGTAAGGGTAGCTCTGGTCATCGTTGAAAATGACATAGATCTGGGGGTCCACCCAGTTGTCCACACAGGAGTCAAAAAGGTCACTGGAGGGGTCACGAGGGTTGATGGGTGGAGGTCGACGCATGGAGGGATTTCCTACAGTAAACCTGTATAAACACAACAAAGAGGACAGGCACTAGTTTAGTCATGTGGTTGGGACTATTACAAGCAATGGTCTTTGTGTTTCCTCATTTTCATGAGGACAATCGCTGCTAAAAGACATGCAATTCAATTCTGCAAGTCTGGAGTTACAGAAGAATAATTTACCATTTAAAAGAAGAGTCTTCTAAAATTAATGATTACAAGCATGCTGCTCGTCTGTGTGTTTTAGGGCACCTTAAATAATATAAGCATATGCTGTAACTGCATGAAATAAATGTACTGTAAGTATATGAAATGAGCCAGCGCACTGTAACCAGTTTGTTTTTCCTCTCTTAAATATTCATGTCACGCCCTAAAGACCCGCAATCCATCAATCTTTGTACCCCTTTCTCTGGGCTAATAAATAAAACATATTAAAATAAGAACATTTTCAGCTACAGACAAAGGCAGTGGGTAGAGACAGTAAAGAGCCTGTGTGCCAGATATGGTTTCTGACACAACAGTTAACCACGCTGTACAGAAAACTTCTTTATTGGTCCCTGCTCAGGTCTGGAAGCAATGTCTCTGTCTGTGCCATGGAGCAGATCGAACCCTTGTTTGGTGGTTGAGTGAGGAGAGGGGGATATGTGTGGTGTGTTTTCAAACCACACCCTCCTCTGGGCACACCGCAGACTGTGTGTTGCTGCATAGCGAAGCTGGTGATGTATGATGGGCTCAGCCAAATCAGCTGTTTTACATGTGTGGATTTGACTTTGACATTTAAAAGAATGAGAGTAGCATGATCCACAGCATGACTGAATGATAGTATATGGAAAAGAAGCTCGGCATTTCCAAGAACCAAATGAATGCTGATATGTTCTGTACATTTTATTTGAAAGCACTAAGAGCGAGACAGTGATGGGGTCAGGAAGAGTGGCATGTGCTAGAGAGAACATACTTGTCAACAAAAGAACACAGGCTCATTTAGGGACACTAAAATATGTAACTCCAACAAAAACTGGATAAGTAAAGCCTCAATTTACAAATGTCCTAGCTAAGGCTGACCCCGAATAGTCGAATATTCGATGCTTGGATGGGAGGAACCTGATTTAACTGTCAATCATGCAGTTGCTGGCAGCACGAAATGCACGCAAAACTCTACATAAGACCGGTGAATGGCAGGCGAGAGAGAGAGTGAGAGAAAAGGGTCTTAAAAAAGCCACAGTTTAGCTGGAAATTTACAGTGTAAGTTGAATGAATAGAGACTGCAACTCTGCAGCTTCTCAAGATTAAAGCAGAGCTACTGTGTGTAACCCGCACAAAAACGCACGATTCGACTATCACTTGACTATAGGATTGACGATTCTGATTTGACTATGTAAATCCTTAGTCGAGGAAAGCCCAGGTCCTAGCTAAGATATACGACCAGGATAAAGACGGAGCTTTTGCCACTAGAAATAAGACATTTTGGAAATAACTTCACCTTACTGGTAGGAAAGAAATTAGATGATAGAAATACTGTGAGAAATTCTGATATATTGTTTACTCGGAGGAATCTATCACTTTAATATCTATGGTTGTATTAGGTTATTGCTGGCAATGTTGTAAATCATTGGGCAGGACTGCCTCATGGCAATACTGGATTTATAGGATTTTGCACCTTGTACCTTGGCTTTTCTAATATTTAATTCCCCGCATTAGCCAAAACCAGACATTACCATCTGGTTTCTTAATTGAACGTTCTAAAAATTTACTATATTAGCATATATATCAACATTGCGGTATAAAATTACAAATACTGTAATGCAACATTTAATCCACAACAAAGCAGTGACATTTTTTGTTTTTTCTGCAGTAATGAAATTGCAAGTAGAAAGAGACATGAAAAATGTTCCCTCTATCAGCTTGTTAACGACAGCACCCACACACACCTGCCAGTGAGGACTTTGGCCAGGAACATGCAGTGGACTCCTTTGGGCGAGCGCTTGGAGAAGTTGTGGGAGTAGACAGCCTTGCGGGCAAAGTAGGAGCCCTGGCCGAACATGGTGGCGTGTTTTCCGCAGACTCGGGGGTCAAAGTTGTGCTTGCAGATGCCCTCCACCACGTCGGCCGAGGTGCCGTGGAAGAGGTGGCGCTCACTCAGCAGCCGGTCCATCTCTGACATCCGCCGCGACATGTACTCCTTCTTCCTGTTAGTGCAAAGAGAGACGGAGGGTGAGATGGGATCTGTTGAATCAGAATCAGCTTTAATGCCAAGTAGGTTTCCACATACAAGAAGTTTGCTTGGTGACCTGGTGCTGAACAATAAACATAAAGTACAATATAAATATATAAATACGATATTGACAGGATATACAAAATATAAAATAATAAAGATTGATGAAATTAACTGCTTTTTAGTGCTTATTGCTCATTTTAACTAGACATAATGTACCAATATTAATTTACATATATTCATTTAGCTGACGCTTTTTATCCAAAGCGACTTACAATTGCTATACATGTCAGAGGTCGCATGCCTCTGGAGCAATGAGTGGTTAAGTGTCTTGCTCAGAGACACATTGGTGGATGTGTCACAGTGGGGAACTGAATCCGGGTCTCTCACACCAAAGGCATGTGTCTTATCCACTGTGCCAATAGATATATTGATACAAAAAAAGTGTTCTTTATGGGAAAAGGCTGACGCACAAAGACAGATCATCTCTCAGGTGAATTAGGCAACAGTTGGGAGCAGTCCTGCTATTTCTATTCAAAAGTTGTGATCCCAGCCTTGTTTGCTCTAAAACCGGGTAAGAACATTGGGCCCCGTTTTCTTGAGCAACACACACACACACACAGACACACACTCACACAGCTCGTTTGATGTGTGCGGATCAATCAGGCATGCAGAGGCGAAAGCATTTCGAGACAGAGAGGTGACCCAGGCGTGACCTCCCATGACCCCACAGCTTGTTACCAGACACACACCGGCACTGCACGCATGCAGGCACACAAACTTCAACTTCCTACCATCCAATCGTATCCAACATTTTAGGATGAAGCTGTTATACTTCCTTTGACATAAATAACCAGCCATTCACATGCCACCACACACACATATATACAGACACACAAACAGGCAGTTATGGTTTCTTATCAGTGTGGGAAGAGGAAATTAACTCGCATTCAGGGGGGCCATCACTTTCAGAGTCAGTGTCACACCACACAAGCCCATACTGTCAGTCATTGTGAAACCGCGTGGTACCAGTCAGTGCAGGAGTGTTTAACTGTCACAGCTGATAGGACCTGCCCTGCTCTAACCACAGTGGTTAGCCAACAGTGCTCGCGAAAAGAACAACATCATCACCAAACATCTCTCCATCCGCTGTGTTCACACACCACTGTCGACTCATTCTCACGAAGTTCCACACAGCTGGTCCCATTTGCCTTACCCCCCCCCCCTTCTTCCTCCTCTCACATTGTTTCTCATTCACCCTTTGTTTGTTGTTAAGAAATATTTTTCTTCGTGTTTCTGTCTGCAAGTAAATATGCAGCTGTGTCTGAAATATTCAACAACATAAATCTGGATACGAAGGTTAACAAACACTTTTTGTGCCATAACAGCAAAATATGTGAAAGTAGGACAAAAGAGGAACCAAATAATTTAATGCAGCAGAAACCACACTGCACTAATATTCTCGTACAACTTTAGCACCACTGTGGGTGCATAATATCATATAAACATAAATATATGTATATAAATATAACTTATTTATGTGCTTATAACCTACTATATCTTAAGCGCGGTCAAGTATCTTGACTATGAAAACAAGTTATTGTTGAACAAGCTTTTTCCACCACTAAAAATCATACCATTCTCATGAAATAGTAGCTGGTGATCATTTCAGCAGTTCAGCACAGTTATGTTCAGAGTTATGCAGTTATGTTCAATAAAACATGTAAAGGCATGTAAAGGACCAAATGCATGCAAAAGAAGTGAAGACGCTCAAACCTGTTCGTCTGTTGTTTTTTTTAAACATAATGATTCATAATTTTGAGGTGAGATTTACAGATATCTCCAGCTGTGAGGAAGTGCTTTCAGTAAAAGGCTTCTCGGCTCACCTCTTGTACTTCTCCCAGAGGAAGGGGTTCTGCACACGCATGATCTTGATGATCCTGAACTTGGTCTCCGACACCGTCTTGTGGAAAAGGCTGTACACTGTCCGGAAGCTGCGGTCCTCACGTGAGACTGGCACCTGCAGGAAGTCCTGGCTCATTGTCATGGGTAGCCATGTCTCCGGGAAAAGGCTGGGTGGGTTGGTGGTCGTTGGAGAGAGGGGATGCGATGTGGAGAGATCCATGGATGAGGAGATGGAGGAGGAACAGGGGAGGGGAGATGAAGAGAGGCCGCCCAAAGTCCTTGGGGAGAAAGAGAGAGAGATACAAAAGGGATAAGATATTTGATTAAAAAAATACTATTCACTTTACTTGATTTACAAACCCTTTAATAGTTTGTAAATACCTATTCATTACTAGATGGTTGAGTTTGCCAAATTACCAGTCAATAAAATACATTGACAGACATAAACACTAACAAAGTACAAATAAATATAAAAATATACAGTATTTATACACACATACACACACACACACACACAAAACCTGACTCTTACAGCTGTATTTGTGTAGTTCTTTTACCTTTACGCTTTATTTTATGGGTAGTTTCCTATAATTCCCTAGAAAGGAAATTAGATGTAACTCTACTTTCAAAGGACGGTTCCTGGAAATAACAATGCAATGTACAACTAATGATAGGGAAAAAGGAGACGTGGATGTCGTAATTAATTGGAAACACTGCAAAATGTAAAATTTCTCAACTTACAAACATGCAATTCATACATACAATATTGAATTAATATTTATTTAGGTTTAGCAGCTTGTATCCAGAGGAGATATCACTGGAAATAAACAACCTCATAAACTCAACAGAGCTAACTAAACTCAAATCTGTCTTAGAAGTTTTATTACAAAGTTCTTTCCAGGAAACCTTTAAGGAAATGATTAGGAAATTCCACACCCATTAAACCAGGCACTGCCTACAATGCATGGACTTTTGTTCCACAAAGTATTATATAATACCAAATATTATCAATCACATTATTATTACCTTATTTATTATTCTATTTTTCAGCTATGGTAGCCTTGATATAAAAATGATATATCTAGGGATAATATCCCAAAAGATAAATGAATAAATTAATTAAAAATGACATGATGTCTAATAAATAATTTAAAAAGCAAACTTCTTTTTATCCTTTATAACCTACTCTTTCTTATAGGCCTTCACATCCAGTACATGCACATGTTTAGTTGCTGCACTTTATTCAAAATCACCTACTGCTCCAGATCTCATCATTCCAGGTATAGCTTTTTCATTGGCCAGTGGTCATCCCTGCTAAAAGCAGGATCCCAAGGCCAGGTCATTTTTATCAAACGAAAGCATCATTCACAAGCCGCAGATCACGGCACGGTACATGTGTCTACTCTTTCCTACAGCTACCACTCCCATGTGTTTCCAATCAAAGCTGCATCCTAACGTAAAACAAAACCGCTGTCGTGTTGTGATGAACCAACACGTTTGCACTTCCAAAATCGTAGCCCACAAATTGTCAACAATGACATCACTGCGCAGCGGAGTGGCTCCAGAGCAGCCATCAGCCGACCAAACAAAACAGCGGGGCCGCGCAAAAATGAAACCCAGACACCAAATAAGACAACAGGGAGGCAAAGTGAGGAGGGAGAGAAAGGAACCAGAACAAAAGAGAGGAAAGTATAAAAGTGCCAATCATGAAAGTGACAAAAAAACTATTGTGTCTGGCATTTGAGTCAATAGCAGTGGTTTGGCTGTCAAGTTATCACTCTCTAAGTGTAAATGCTGTTAGCCCTATGAGCCATAAGAGAGTGTGCACGTATATGTGTGTGTGTGTGTGTGTGTGTTGTCAGGAGACTGATCAGTGTGACTCTGAGTCAGGGCGACAGTTTTTCTCATCTCTTTTCTCTCTCTCTCTCTCTCTCTCTCCGTTATCCTGTCTCTCCCTTCTCAATCTCTCCCTGCAATCGATGTCTCTATTCCCCGTGTGCTTTGAAGAGATCACAGACAGCCTGCTGCCGAAAACAAGTGTGAAATGAAAAGGGACAGATAACAGGAGAATGATGGGGTTGAGGAGAGGGAGAGAGAGAGAGTGTGAAAAGGAGAAAAGATTGGGACAGATAACAAAGGAGGGAGAGAGGGAGGGGATGGATAAAAATATCTGAGGGAGAGAGGTGGGGAAGGAGCAAGGGAGAGTGCCAATCACGCTAATGACCTCAACCTCTAAGCCTAGCACAGATTGTTCCTGATACACACACACACACACACACACACACGCTTGTTTTGGTCACTTAGGAGGACACTGCCCTTGCATACATTCCCTTAGATTTTTTTAACCAAAAAACTACCTAAGATAATAACTCTAAGATTTTAAAGGTTTTAAAGGTTTGCCTAGTTGGGACATGCCTTTTGTCTCCGTAATATAAGTGTGTGGTCAGATTTTTGTCCCCACACAGTGATTTACTGAACCGTGCACACAACAAACGGATGAAAAGGTCCCAGGAACAAATTCTTCAATCCAAATTCCAGCTCCCCACAGTCATATTTCACACTCCTTCACTCTCCAGCTCTACTCTGCTGTGCACCCGGTCTGGAAACCATTTAGACCTCTCTCACTTCCCCTCTCTATCTCACTCTCTAACATGCCGTCTCTTTCTCCCTCATTCTCCCTCATTCTGCCTCCTGCTTCCTCCATCTAATTTTCTCTCTTGCTCTCCCAGTTTGTCTTCTCTTGACTGTCAGGCCCAGTAGGAACAGCTCGTGCTAGCTCTCTCTGTGTGGGACACTGGCAGGACACTGCGTCAGCAGCCTGCTCGGCAAAGGAAGTGAAATATTCTGCAAATGGGGTGAGATGACTCCACTTGTTTCCAATCTGGTATCACTTGTTTCAGGAATATCACTGAGGCGAGTGCTGCGAGGCGGATCACCTCACTGCTATAAAGAAAATGCAGGTTAATAAAATTCTAAAATCAGCTTATCTTCTCTTGAAAAAAATGGACAGATCTCATCTCATTCACGGATTTTCTTACAGAAAAATAAGATTTAAGATTGATTTATATTACTTCGGTGGGTATTTGAAGTGTGGGAGCTAACTGGGTTGAATTCTTTTGTTTCTCCTTGCACTCTTTATCTGTCAGCTCTCTGTGAATCTCTTGTCCTCTGTCTCATCTGTTCTGCATCTGCATCAGACCTGCTTCACTTCTGCACAGCACAGCTTCTGCGTGCTGGTGACTCGGTTTGACTTGCCAAAAATCTGAATTGTTAGTATGGGCTTCAAGTTCATCTCAGGCTGCCATCGTGCAACCGTACTGGAATAGACTAAAGGTGAATGTGGTGTTCAGAGGCATTTGAGTATTCAGGCCTGACGGTGACATTAGTATTGTGTACTGACCTCTGTGTGCCCGCCTGTCTCCTAACAGGGACTCAGGGTGCTCACAGAACACAGAGAGCCACAGGGAGACAGTGTATCACATACTTAAGAACCAACTTTGTCTGTGTATGCACGTGTTGCCAGGCACTAAAACTGGGGACTTTGTTCTAATAGCCACTGTGGCCTCATATTCAAAATACTGAATGTTCTCTAACAAGGTTGAGATCTGAGTGCTAAACGATCGGCGAGGCTCTGCCAGTGAGTACAATGGGAACTAGAGGGGAGGGAGTGAAAGATTGAGACAAAGAGAGACTATCAGTCAAGTGAATGACCTCTACCTCTCAACTAAGGACTGACTGTTCCTGACACTTTGCTTTACTGTTAATTAGTAGCAATTCTATACCTTAATGCTTATCAGACTGTTATCCTTCACATATGTTAATAGACTGCTCAGAAAAATGCTTTCTGCATCCAAAGAGCTTCCATATCGACAACACCAAGCATATTTGGAAATTAGCTTGTTGGTCAGCTTGTCCTTTATGTAAAAAGATGAGAGCCTACAGCCTCTCAATGTCAGCATGCTAACATGTTCACAATAACAATATTAACATGCTGATGTTTGGCAGATATAATGTTTACCATGCTTAGCATGTTAGTTTAGCGTGTAAGCATGCTAACATTTGCTAATTAACACAAAAAACATCAAAAGTCAGAGGAACACCAATGTTATTACAATTTATCTTGAGGGGCGCATGAATATCGCTACAAAATTTACTTCCAATCCATCCAATAATTGACCAATAGTGGATTTACAGACCAACAATGCCACCCCTAGAGCCACGCCATGTGGCAAAGAAAACAACAATTCTGGATCGGTAACATCCAGGCAAGACCTCTACATGTGCTTACCTCCTTAGTTTAAGAGAAGTGATAATTAAATCCAGTGTTAAATGTCTTTACTTACTGTAGGAGGGGTGTAAGCATCACGGAGGACATGAACATGGGCCGCTTCTTGATCTGACGCCTGAACCCAAAGACAGCGTTCTGCTGGAAGCCCTCCCTGATGTTGAGGATATACTGGTTCTGGAGCGTAATGAATCGCACCTCCTTAAGACCCCTCAAACTCGCCTCCTCTATGAGCTTCACCACCGGCTGTGGAAGACATGAAGAGGAGTTTAGACTCAATTGTTTTATACAGTTCTGCATTTTCATTCAACAGAGGAAGGGAGAGTTTGCAGAGGCATTTGTCAGTGAAGTGTGGTGCAATGTTCAGATAACAAAAAGCCAAGCTGAGTGTCATCATGAGACACAAACTCACACATACACACAGGTAGAAAACAGTCTTTACTGATTTGATGAAATAAATTGCAATTGGCTGGGGACAGCTGTGTCACAAGGGTTGTTAAGTGGGGGTGGGGGTGTGTCTGAATTGATCCCATGACAGTAGCTAGACAATCGATTGGTGTGGGAGTTAATACGTCTGACCTCGTGTTCACAGACCGTGTGCACACACACACACACACATCAATGCACTCACCTCAGAGTATTCCCGCCAGCCAAAGTTGTCTCTGCAGTAGTACTTCCACACTGTGTGACAGCTTGGGGTGGGGTTTGAGTTCGTTGTGGGAGTGGGTAGAGGGCTGGCGGGAGTGGTCAGTCGTCGGACACGGTCAAACTCCAGGTCACACACTTGCATCGCCCCAAAGTCTAGGGTAAACACTCTACCCCTGAAACACAAAGTTAAAAAAAACATAACTAACTGCTGCAGTCAGTGGGAAAGAATATAATACAGATTCACACAGTCAGCTAACATGTGGCTGCGGCACGGTGACCTTGTTGTTAAATGGTCACAGTTTATATTTCCATCTGCAGCTGCATGACCAGACATGCGGCTGCTGATGGAACCTTAATTTAACCCGAGTGCTCTGGAGCAAGATGGCCAAACCTCAAATTGCTCACTCAGTATGAGTCACACAGCATCAACTACAGGACTTCCATGCCACATGTAAACATACAGAGAATAGAAAGAAACATGACGATCTAAACATTATATTTACACACACTGAAAACATCAATGTCACAGTAATTACTCACATATTAATCTTATTTTAATAACTGCTCTACAAAAGTTCAAGATCTAAACCAGAATGGTGTTTCGGAAAATGCTACTTCATGATATCGCATAATTTAACATGATGGCATGGTTATAGAAATATTTAAAAATGTTGGAGAAATTTGCATATTCACTTTTGTGCCAAGAGTTAGATAAGACGGTTGATACACCTCAAGTCCGTAAATATGAAGCTACAGCCAGCACATGGTTAGCTTGGCTGGCTAGTTTAGCTTAACTTAAATTGTGTTCATTTAATGCATTAATAAGTGAGCTTTAGTGCTGCTGGTGGGTGGATTTTGTTACCTTTTGACAGAGCCAGGGTAGCTGTTTTCCCATGTTTCCAGTTGTTATGCTAAGCTAAGCTAACCAGCTGCTGGTTGTAGCTTCATATTTACCGTACAGACACAAGTGGTATTGTTCTTCTCGTATAACCCTCACCAATAAAGTGAACAAGTGAATTTCCAAAATGTTGTGATTTTCTTTGAAATATTTGCATCTCATTTTTCTGATACTGACATTTGCCTTCATGCCAGTCCCTTTGATTTACAAAATTTACAGAGATTCTGTGCCTTGCTCAAGGACACATAGACAGATAAATGGTAAACCAAGGGGGTTAACCTGGGCTCTCTAGATTTAGGTTGAAGACATGCCAAAGTGTTAGCACCTGCTAAGTGTTATCATCTGCTAAGTAAATAAATGGTGGAAAAGCATAATCTCATCATGTGCATACAACCTGCCTTAACCTCTGTCTGTCTCAACAAGCGTGGGTCAAAACCCCATTGTGTGTGTGTGCATCTGTCTCTCTACATTAGTCTGCCATAGGGCCTCCGGCAAATCCTTTCTGGGTCAGACATACCACTCATATAAATGTGGGAATCATACACTGGCACGCTAAGCCATGGACGGCAGACAGACAGAGAGGTAGACATACACACATCAGCCATACACGTATGTATGCACCCCACACACACACACACACACACACACACACACACACACACACACACACACACACACACAGGGTTAATGAGCTGATTGATTTTTGCAAGGAAACTAATTGGATGTAATGTCAAAAGGTTAGACATCGGTGAGTGTGTGTCTGTCTGGAAATGTGTGTGTGTGTGTGTGTGTGTAAAGCAGGGGTTGTATTAAAGCCTTTAGATGTTTTCAATCTAAAATACAGAGAAGCGGAGTGTATCCGGACCTGATGAGTTAATAGTTTTACAGCCTGGAGAAGTGAAACCTCATAGTATAATAGCTACACTGTATATGAGTACACTGTAAGTGCAATTACTGGTCACTGAGGTTGCAGGCACTTTATCTGTGGGGACCAGCATTGACAAAACACATTCTCATTCCCCCCTACCCCAAATTATAATCCTACCCCCCCCCCCCCACACACACACACACACACACACCCCAGTTTCGGTCAGGAAGGTGACAGGGGCTGAGTCATTTTTACAGAAACATAGGCCTATATGCACACTGATACAAATACTAATTATCTTTCCGGTGTGTGTTTCTGCTAAGTCATAGGGTGACAGCACCTCTGTAAGAGGAAGTGAAATAGGAATTCATTCACTGAGCACGTGCAGAAACAAAACAGCAATTCAGAAGTGACTCACTGATCATCAGATAATGCAGATGTCCACCAATTATTGTTTTCTGAACGGCATTCAAGCAACAAAAAAGCATGTTTCGTTTCATACAAAAGAATATGAGAATTAAATTTGAATAGTAAATGCAGAGGTAGAACAGAGAAACGGAAGAGAAAGGATGATGGAAATAGGTGCTACAAGGAAAGACAGGGACAGAGAACAATGTGAAAGGCAAGGAAATTGAAAATGTAGCAGATCAGCTGTGAAAACAGTACACTCGTTAATTCACCTCTGGTCAGCCCGTTCTTCTGCTCACTTTGTTTTCCTATTTTTCTTCTCCCTTTGCTCATCTTACTGAACCAAACTGTTTCATAATAGTCATCTCTCTGATCTGTTCCCACTGCTTCTTTCTGTCTCTCCACACATCTCTGTTCTCTGCACTTTCAGACTGAAAAAGAAAGTACTCTGGGTGCACCTGCATGGCCCCCTCTCCCTCTATTATGGTCTCTGAGAACAGAACAGTTTCTGCCTGCAACAGAATGTTATGATGACAAGCGCTTCTGCAAATGCGTGCATGTGTGTGCTTCATAAGTCACTCTCGAGTTCCCACACACACACACACACACACACACATATATATTCAGATATTATTATAAGGAAGTTAAGTGAACTTGGTTGCATTTCCAGGCAGCCTCCCCATGTTACTGCTTACTTGGCCTCTCTTACGCACACACCCAGAAGAAGACAGGTCTACACAGAGGACAGTCACAGAGCCATTTTCCCTCCCTGGCTCCCAGACTAGTCTGTGATGTTCTAAAAATAAAATTCCACCGGTTAAATTAAGTGCACTGAGATTCGGTGCTTTCAGCAGGGAGGGCCGATCAAAAGTTGGAAAGAGACGCCCACTCTGGCAAGGGTGACACTTTCAAGACCACGCTTGAAATGGCGAGCTGCTCCAAGGTACACATGCAAAAGTCAACAGAAAATGCAAATGTAAAGAGAAGATTTGGAGCGGCGTATTTGAGTTTTAAAAGGAAAAAGACTTCTGAATGGAATACCAGGGAGGGGTGATTGTGTGCTAAAAGTGAAAGAAGATGGCCCTTGTGCAAGCACGTGGCACTGAAAATGCACCAAACCTGCTCCCAGGTGTGAATGTTTGTGTCAGAATCTCTGAGCCAGGTGTTGATGGAAAAAAATAAAGAGAAAGCTTGTTCAGCTAAACCTCAACCTGGATAAATAAAGGTTAAGAAAACTCACTGCACTGCCAAAATGGCTCTTAATTCCCCACACCGTCTTCAGCACACACACACACACACCTTCGAACTTTCTCACGGCTGCACACACAAGGACCCACATACCAGCATCAGTCATGCTATTGGGAACGTCACAAGCTAGGAAGAAAAAAATAACATCAGCGCTCACTCTCTCTAACACACACGCAAAGGCATTCTTTCGACAGATTCATGAGCACATGCGCAATCAGGCATGCCTTGATATGTCAGTCGGTCAGTCAACCAAATCCGCTGACGGAGCCTTGTTTGACACACACACTACCTTGATGTCACGGGTTAGTGTTATTTCCTCAAGTTATATCTATTCCCCATTAAGTTATCCATTTAAATGTGCTTCATTTGATTCAGTTTTTCTTTTTTAGCTCTGAAGGCTGTAACAAGATGTCAACCACACACACACACACACACACACACAAAAAGGGAACAGTGAGAAATATACACCGTCGTCTCCTGCATGTCCTGAACTGTTCCTGTTATGAGTGTGTCTCTGTCCTCCTCTGCAGCAGATCATTAAGCTTATAGTTCAGGGTGTCCTCTCTCTCTCTCTGTCCTAGCCCCTCAACCCCTCTTTGAAAATTTAAAACTCAAAATCCGTGAAAGAAACAGATGTAAGATGGAAAGATAAGTGAGTCTGACATTAAAAATAACACTTAGTGGTGCTTCAAAAAGAAAGAGCTTTTTCACAAAAAAAAATTAGTGAAAAAGGATGAGGAATGATTATAGATATAAAGGAGGAAGAGGTGGAGAGGGGGGGAAGATGGAGAGATAAAGACTGACTCTGAGTAATAAGAGAGGCAAAGTGACCCAGACCTCGCCCCACTGATTCATGGCATGGGCTGACATGTTACAGCCACACACACACACACACACACTCAGTCTTATCTTGACACTGCCTCTTTTCACACACACAATCACCACACGCAAACAAGCTCTGATAGACACAACCATCCTTGATTTTCTTTGATTCGTGACACAATGAGGCAACAATGAGGAATCCCCACGATGTAAACACACAAACACGCACACACCTTGGTGTCAGGTCACTCTGCCCTTGGTGCTCGGTGACTCTTTATGTCAGTTAATGACAAGCAAGGCTTTTATCACCTGGCCAACAAAAGAGTCTCTCTCGATCTCCCCTCTCTCTCTCATACACATACGAAAAACATGTGCTTCCTCATGGTTCGCCTAAAGCCAGCCCGTATGTTGATATTACAGGAAGTTGGCCTAATTGTAGGAGATGTGGTTCAGAATTTGTGTTTTCCTGTAAATTGCAAACGTCACACAAATCAGCCGAGGACACCAGCAGAGCACAAATGTGTTAACAAGCGACTGTACACCCGACGATTAACACCATCTAACTTTTAGAAGCGATGACTGCGACATTCCTCCTTACTGCTGAGTTCATGACTAAGGCGGATTAGCCAGACTTCCATTCCTGCTTATCATATGGACGGGATTAACCTGTGCTATGGATCAGACACACATGAGAACAGCTCAGCACAGAACACGCACTCACATGCACTACAATGGGCTGTACAGGACATAATCAGATGCAAGCACACAAAAAGCCACTGCTGTCCACTCCCTTTCTTCCACACACACACACACACACACACACACACAGACACGGCAGAAGGCAAAACAGGCCTGTGTTGCCATACCGACAGTACAGCTTGTTAAGTCATCTGCTGCTCTTTAGATCACTAACGATGTTATCATTTGGCTGTGGTAACCAAGGTGATGCCTTCGCCCCGTGTGTGTGTGTGTGTGTACTTGCATAAAAGAGCTCTCTAACACACACACACACACACACCCCACACACACTCTGCAACACAAAGCTTCAAGTAAATGACTGAACTGTGCATAGCACTACTGTACTGTACAATTTACTGACTTTTCCTGTTTGTCTCCCATCACCCGATCAGCTCTCAGGGCCCCAAACCAATACTGAGTTTACCCAGTGTCAACATATTACTGAACCAAACTGTTCCATAATATTCACATCCACTAAAGGCAGGTCAACCACCCTACTGCCAGTTCTAGCCTGTGGTGTAAATAAACACTGGATTAGAAGAGAACAACAATACAATAAACCACACTTTTAAACCAGGAATTAGCATTAGCGTTTACTTAAGATAGAAAAACATGCACAAAATTTTTTTTTTAAAGAACTACAAATCTGAGAGTGTTATTCGTCAGAGAAGTAGGGTTTTTCAGAAATTCATCACTAACTAAATGATGGTGACTACTGCTCAATATGTATTTTATTTTTATTAAAATAATTAATTAGAGATGCACTGATCGACTGGCCAGTTACAGAAATCGAATGGTTTCCAGCTTGATGGGCTATGACCGGTGACTGAGGCTGATCAGAATCCCATTACCTGATTGCAAAATATAGCCAATACTTTGGCAGCCATTACTGTGTGTGTGTGTGTGTGTTTGCGTGTGTGTCTGATGGCAAAAGCAAGGTGAGCAGATTAAAGCAGTTTGTGAGTGAACACTAAAATAAGGTTTAGAATAAAGTAGAATTAAAATGGTGGGATAAGAAATAACATACCAGAAATAGGATAAAGTGTTCTTTCAAAAATGTTCAGATATAAAATACAAATATACATGTAAGTATGGACATACAATTGAATGGACGCCGAGAAGAATAGCCAGTGCTTATGCTGGTGCTAATGGGGGGAACCTAATAAATAAATGAATAAATAAATTTCCATTAAAGAAAAGTTACAAAAATGTTGTATGCTGTCAATTATAGCTAAGAAAATCGGAATTGGCCAAGAAAAAGAAAATTGCATCTGTATTATTAATGGCAAATGACAAAACTAACAACAAATATGGGTCAAATGTACTGGTGCAATGTTCTGGGGTTTCCAGTTTCTACTGGAGTTTCAGTCGAGTGACCCAGTTCATCCAGTCTGACTCTATGAGAGTGTAAGAGTTTGGGTTGACACCACCAGCTACATATCCTGTTTGTGGAGCAATAAGCACTTTGCATAGAGTTTCAGTTGAAAACATGAGTCAACAAGTCAAACATACAGACACATACAAATCTTTGTACGCACACACGCAAACCTGTGTGTTTGTGAGACACAGACATAAACAAAGACAAACACACATGGCCGCTCAAAGGGCTCAAGTAATCATGAAGGACCTGGTGATGTGGACGTGGCTGATAGTTTGAGGGTATAATAGGCATAGCGATGTTTCATTGACCGTGTTTACATTGACTGCACTTTTTACCCGATTCAGACACAGATGTAACACAAAATCCTTCAAATGTGGCATTTTAATACTTGCCCTAAAGAGACATCTACACCTTAATCAAACAATGACTATCTGCTTGTTTGTTGATTCTAGTATGACAATTTAACTGCTTTACTGACTTTCAACGGGAAATCAATCAACAGGCGTTCATCTGCAGGTACAACTGATTAATCCAACGTACATTTTCAAGCAAAAACGCCAAACGTTGTCTACTTCTAGCCTTCTCAGTTGGGAGGATTTGCTGCTTTCCTTTGATTTATGTAATTTAAATTGAATATCTTTGAGTTTTTGGACTTACATTTGAAAAACTTTACGGACCAAACAATTAATCAAGAAAATATTTGGCAGATTAATTGTTGCAGCCCTAAATGTCACAGGGGGGAAAAAACTTGTCCAACAACAGAAAAAAACCCAGCAGTTTGATGATAATATTTTGCAAATATAGCAACATGACATCATGGGATAAGATATGAGTTTGAGGGCGGGGTGGGACATGTCATGTGGGCTCCTGTGGTTGGGACAACTTCAGTCATGTATATAGTAAACAGGAATATAAACAGAAAAAAACGATAAGCAATATGTGTTTAGAATACAGTCAACAGTCGTATAGACTTACTCATTGTGTGTCAGTTCCCGTGTGTCAATGTGCCTGCATTCAGTACAGTTTAACAGGAAGCGGTACATGCTCCTTTATGTCACCCCACTGGGGCTTGCCAAGTGCTTGCATGTGTGTGTGTGTTTGTGTGTTTGTGTATCTATGTGGGTGTGTGAAAGAGTGGTTTATCTCAGACTGCTAAAAGGCGTGCGTGTGAGCACTGCAAGCCACTGAGCTTCTCTGTGCAGCCGATTCGTGCGAGCGTCTGCGTGCCAAGCAGTGTGTGCGTGTGTGAGAGTGTACACGGTGGTGTGCATGTCTATGACCGAGGGAAGGAAAGAAGCTGCCAAGTGCGTCTACGTCAATGACCGCACAAGGCAACTGGGGGTCATGGAAGTTCACAGCTTTCTGCCATGAGTGCTGTCAAGTCTGGTTTGGACAGCGCTCCAGCCAATCACAGGGCGAGTTCGGGGGCAGGAAAATACAGGAAATAGATAACCAATATCAGGGCCGGGAGATGAAGTGGCGAGTATACACAAGGGCACGATAGCTGATATGATACACATTAACTAGAAGACACATGAAAGCCACACAGAGGAGATAAAGGGACACTTTCACACATGCACTAATAAGCCACATTTACTGTGTTACGGACTGTGAAAGTAAAACATATAGGCACATTCACAAGGCCAAAGTTAATCGGCCACACATGTACAGAACACCTGTAGAGTCAAAGCTTTCAGCTTGACACCAGTGGAGAAACCAGAGCAGAAGCTCAGGCCCGAGGTCCACTGTCTCTTAACACACCGAGAAAAAAAGTGCTTATCATTCTACAGCAGCCTACCAGCTTACTGCACCATTGTTGCCATGTCACAAGTGTCAAATATTTGTTAATTCATAGGTACTTGTGACATGGCAACAATGTACTTATAAATGCACCACACAGTAGCCTTTCAGCAGTACTTAGCACACTATAATGTACTGGTCTGGGTCCAATGCTTTCCAACTCTATCAATCCAGTGAGAGCATTTTTTACTAAATGTATCATTGTTCCGCTGTAATGTCATTAAAAGGTCTGACCATTTATGAGACATTATTATAAATAACATTTAAGTGTTGTTGTCCACAATAAACAGACATGTTGGAAACTGATGCATGGTTTCCAGGTTTCAGTTCCTGTTTTGAACTGATTGAACTGAAAGAGAACTGACCCCCTACCCACAGGCACAGATCCAAAACAGAAAAACAGAAATGCTCTGTTACTGCTTCCCTCCACAGTGGGATCCTGTATCTAACCAGAAGGCATACAGTATACACAGTACAGGATAATACAGCCTGCAGGTTGCAGTAAACACTATAGAGGGATACTTACTGAAACTTGAGCCTGACTTGCTCATTGTCTGGGTTGCAGTACAGTCTCTCCAGCTGTTCCTGAGAGTCGTCTGCTATGCTCTGCCACGTCTGACTGCTGCTCCTGCGGATCTGCCAGTAGTAGGGCAGGACAGTGTGGTGGTGGGCACAGTCATTGCCATAAACACACTGCCCTTGGAGGAAATCCACACAAATTTCTACTGAGTCTGACTGGTGCGTGTGATACTGGAGCTGGGTGAGCAGCTCAAAAACCAGGTCCAGGGAGACCTCATCGCTTTTATCCTGAAATAGCACTCCTTTGTCAGGCTGCAGAAGGAGGGGAATGGGGTCATGGACGCTGGTGCATGCTTTGACTGGAAGGTTTTTAGCCCCAGAGGTTAAGAGGTCATTTCTTTTGATGCCGCCCTCTTGGTGAGGAGCCTGGGGTGCAACTATGGGAGGTATATCCCTGACAGGTGGCGTTATTGTCACTGTGCTCCCGGCCGCCCTGAGGCCAGGTTTAGGCTGAAAGCAGCGGCTGCCCGGGGTTGGATCATTGATCTTGGGTCGCTCCCCTCGCAGCTCAGTCTCCTCCAGCTCCGCAGTAGTATCGGCTATTTCCACATCACCATCCCGGGTAATCAACCCGGGTACAGCCCCAGCTGTGGCATCGTCAGCAGCTCCCGGGTCTTTGAGACACACCTGGCCCATACAGTTCTGTTTCACTACAGCCGCTGCGCACAGGGTACCCGCAGTCCGGCCCGGCTGGTTCCGGGGAACGAACACCCCGTCCCCAGAGACCAGCGTATCCGTGCTCAGTAAAGTGGTCAGTATAGGGTCCTCCAGGGCGCGGTGGAGGCATTTGGCGTCCAATTTCCTCTGCTTCTTTTTGAAATGAGGTTTCACCAAAGGTATTTTGTCCGGGAGCCCCACTATCTGCTGCTCCGTGAAATCCTCCCCCTCGTCCATATTTAAACTCATATCCAGGGCGATCCCAGTCGGCACACCGTCTGCGGATTTCTGGAGAATGTGCAAAGTTTTATCCATGATCCCCTCCTAAACCCTGACAGTCCTGAGAGAAAGGGAAAGAGAGAAAGAAAGAGGTAGTAGTCATCAAAGTTAACACCTATAATCCCATAATCATGATTCATCCTGGCGCATGATTAATAGGTCGCTTGGACGAGGAATTGGGCCACAAAAAATAACTCATCTTTCCTTTCCTGGAAAGAAACCCCTCGCTTTCTATATGCAGAAACGAAACCTGTTTAACCCCCCCACCCCCACGACAAACACTGCTCTGATCCCATATGACCCTGCAAAATTTAGCCTAGCCTCACCGGGAACAACAAGGCGATCATAATGAACACACACACACACACACACACACAGACCACAAATATGTTATAAGCCCATAAAGAAATATTACAAGAATATAATGATTCTCGGTTGGAGAGGATAAAATGGTTCGCTCAGTCTGTAACGTTTACTGAAGCGAAAAAATATTAGCCTACCTAATCCCACTGTAGGGAACTTGAGCACAGTCGCCAGTTTCAGATGAAGTATTATTTTAAAAAAAAAAAAAAAAAAAAAAGAGAGAGAACATGTAGGCTATAATCGGATAGTGTATTTTTTTCTTTGGTCTCTCACTAACGTCACGCCTGCAATTACAGCAGCGTCCCCGAGTAGGAGCGATAAAATCATCTCTGTAACAAAACCTCTCTCTCTCGGGACTATATATTTTGATCACTGGAGTCCGATACGCGGCCCCTGCCGTCTACGTGCCGCTTACACATCGCTGCCCGAGCAAGTTTGCACGTAGGCTACAGTCGACACACACACACACACACACACACACACAGGGCACTGCGGCGGAGCAGCGACAAAAAATAGGCTACTCGGAGTACTCCGGAGCTTAAATTCACCACGTCCCTTCAAAAGCTTTGCACTGCTTCAGAAACACTTCTTCTTCTTCTTCAGCCTCGGAGCTTTACGGGCTTTGGAGTTGAAAGGCTTTTAAGAACCACGCACTGCAGTAGGCAGATTGTGTTACAGCGCAGCTTTTCCAGAGCCGATTTAGGAAAAGAAAAATACCCTCTGTACATTTCTCTGACACCTACATGACAAAAAACCCTACCTGCGCGATAAAGTCCGCCCCTCTCTCCGCGGTCTCGACACTCTTTGGTGGGTAAAATCCAGTGCGTACATCGGCGAAGCTCCGTATCCAGTCTGGAGATAATAGTATCCGTGTCCGGACTAGACTGTAGTCCGGTTAGGTTTTTCGTGTCCCTCTGCTGCCCCCGCCGCTCTTACGCTCTGTCTCTATTTCATGCTGTCTGCCCCTCTCTTTGTATCCTTGTACCGGATAGAAAAGCGCAGGAGAGCAGAAACCGACAAAGAGCGGAGCACAGCTGTGGCAAGAGACTCTCTGCCTGCCTCCCGGCTCCGCACAGCCAGGCCCCGCCTCGTAACCTGTCAGAGGCGGCGCCTATTGCTTCAAAGAGGGAGGGAGGGAGGGAGGGAGTCGTTTGGTGGTAATCGGAAGAAGCTGCAAGGGGATGTGAGGACCCTCTGGGGCCGTTATGCCGGGCCCCGGAAGTAATAAGAAGCAAACTGAACGCAAAGGCAAATGTCATGACGTCACCCAACCGTCTGGGCACAACAGCACAAGCAGTGGGAGGAGAATTTGGGCCCTTTTCTTAAGTAAAAGTAGTAATAAATCAATACAAGTAAAATACCTGCATTAGCTCAGTAATGTACACATGTATTAGTAAAATGTCTTTGTAGATATTGCCTGATAATCTGTTAACAGGCCCCCCCACATAAAAAGAACCTCCCAAAACGAGTAGCCTACCGTTATGCTACCAGTCTAGGTTTGGGCTCAGGTTTTCCACTTGTGAATTAGCTTGAGGCAGTGTGATTAAACATAAATGTACAAATATTACACCTCTTGCAATATGAAAATTGCATTAGGCCATATTGCGATTTTGATAAATTATTCGATGATTAGGTAATAATGCAAGACCATTTTACTTTAGAGGTGCATATTAGGCATACCAAACAAACTGACATGCAGTTAAGCGGGTTTTAGGTTGCCCACTTTGCTTGGTTGGTAATCTGGACTTGTTCAGTTTAAAAGTACTACTGTGAGGAATGGCTCCTTACAAAGAAGTATTCACAACCTGGCAACACAAAAACATGTCTTTATGATTAATCTGTAATGCATAATTATTTCATAAATATTAATAAGGACATTTGTTAGCGCTTATAAACAATTGTGTCTTTGTAAGATGGTTATATGTTTTGTAAGTAAAATCTTATAAAATCTTAACTGTAGGTGTCAAATAAATGCAGGTTGTAAAAAGTAAATTTGCATCAGAAGTGTAGTAGCACAAATTGGAAATACTCAAGTGAAGTACCTTGATAATGTACATACAGTACATGTACTCATTTACTTTCCACCACGTAAATATGGTCAGAAATGTTGTATTCAAATGTGTTAACTGAAATCTTCAAGCCATGTTTGAAGATGGTTATTATTCCTCTCTTGACAGTTCTTGAAGAGAGGCCAAACTACTTTAGGAACGTTTGGATGATAAATCACCAGGTTCTTTCACATTAGACTAAACATGAAACCTGTTGAGACATAGTTATAATTCTGCCAAAAGCAGGTGCGATTTTTCTCAGAACAATCTGGCGTGTATTTGTTCCTAGAGTAATTAGGAAGCCTGACTTGGTCCTCTGCAGCTGATCTTTCACATTTCCATAAAGGATTGTAACATTTACTGACTGCACGTTGAGTCAGCTTCCCTCCCCTCCCTGTTTTACCAGAAGTAGTTTTTTAGGAACCTGCTGTGCTGCACTGCCTTCCGGCATAAGTTTCGTTGTTTGCAGACGGGCCTGCTCAACCAAACAGCTTGGTTTCTAAAGAGAGGATTTCTCGCAAGGGCAGGTCTCTTAAGCACAAAATGCAACTCTCCACGTAGTTGTATACATCAGATTACAACAGAAACAGTTAAGGGAGTTATCATTTTATGCAACCGGTTTCCACATAACATAAGCATAATGTGACAGTCCCAAGCTGTACTGTTACTCCCATTCAACAGGAATTAGAGGCAGATTTCTAAAACTAGTTTATACAAGAAACCCTGCATCTAGCATTTAACTCATTAAGGTTTAGTTTCAAGTTTGTCTCTGTATTGAAGGAGGATTACAGTAGGATGAAAAACTCAGTCTTGTTCTTTTTCCAAATGTGCTAGAAAGTGAAATTACAGGAAATTAAAGTTACCCCTATTTCCCCCCTCAGGCTCCCTGTGGGACCCAGTATCGAGCAAACCCCAAATAGAATATGTTATTCATGAGATTAATTGTCCATTAATAACGCCTTAAAATCCCCCACCATTTAACCCTTGAACTTTAATGACAAAGGCCAAAAAGGCCAATGTGCCACAGCTATTTATGCATGCAAACTGTTTAACCCCATAGCACCCACAAACCACCAACAGATCTAGGCACCTTTTTAAAATGATTCCTTTTTCCATGTGCAGGCCACAGGCTGTGGTTCAAGAGATTGGAGATTAACAGAAATGTGTACAACCATCTTCCAGACAAACACTGATGCCGTCAAAGCAGTTCCAATGAGGGTTAGTAATTGGGAAATTACAGGCTTGCTGCTGAAGACATGGGAGAGCTGACGTATATGAGAGTAATTGCCTGGTTGCATACCGACGGATCTCGAGCATTCCTCCTTGGCTGACATGCATAACGACGACCTATTGTTCAAGTTTTGACTTGTCTCAGAGGACGCCCTATAAAAGAGATACCTGCTTGCCAACTCCAGCTCGCTTGTTTTCTTTCAAAAGTCAGTGAGTGATCTGGGAACACATGAAACAACAAGTACTGTGATGATCATTTAATACATCTGGGAAAGACTGTTGTCGTGGAGAACCTAAAGAAACACTATAGTCATATCATTATTATTATTATTGTTATTAAAAATAACATAATGTACTATTGTATCAGTATCAGAGTGTGTATTTGGTAAATACAGGATCATACTCAGATTTGGAGTCAAAATGTATTTCCGCTTCATCAGTCCCTGTGGGTAAATTTCTTTCCACTTGCCTCCCTTAAAAAGAGGCCAGAGGTCATAACAGCAGCGTTGATGCTTGCAGGAGCAGGAACATAAACCCAGGTGTGTCACGCTCACTCTCAAATAAAATGGACAGTAAACTAATTCTAAGAACCAAAACCACATGAAAGGACATCAGGTGGGTCTTTGTAAGTGCAGGGTAAAGGTGCCGTGTTTCGCTCCCCCACCCTTTGAATCTTATCTGCTCACATGCCTGCACACAACACCATTACTGGAGGCAGATCAGTTAACACTGGTGACAGGCCTTCAGCCTTGACACGCCTGTTTTACACACAAAACAGTTCAACAGCATGGAAACATAAAAATAAATTTTATTGAGGTAATTGCTGTTGGCCCGACAGTGGATCCGATGGGTGCCATAAACAATGATGAAAGTCTCGCTGTATAATTATTGTCATTATGGCCAGTAATTTTGTCACTTTGATGTAAATCACATTGGGTACATTTCTGGATTTTACACTAACAATTTAGAGTGTGTTTTGTTGTGGTTTTATAGGTGGAAAGTAACACATTCTCACAAACATACATGCATACTTCCTCCCCCACCGGTAGGCGTACCTGATTTGACAGAATGCACTGTGAGTGACCTGACACTGTTGGTTTTATATGACTAAACTTCTAGATATGTGTAACTTCCAACGCCCACAGCAGGTGTCATATTTTGTGAGTCAACTTGGACCATTCTTTCAGATCGAAACTAGTTCTGTGTGTGTCTTTCAGCTGGGCCAAGACCTTTTTATTATGACTGTTTTTTGTCAGAGACGAAACACCATGAAAATGAAGGAGGACTGTATGAAATAGCCACATGAAAACTGGGAAAATCCTGTCAATAATGATAAATAAGGGTTAGTTCTTTTATGATTAATTCAGCCAAAGACAGAACACAGGATATGGATACAAGAATACGAATAGAAGAGATATGCATAAGTGTCATTAAGATAGTTTTAGTGAAATCTAATACTGCTTTGCATTGCATTCAGTGCAAACTGTATCTGCATCAACAAACTGTCAAACAATCTGAATTAATGACTCTTAAATGCAAACAGCTTTTTACAGAGATGGGTAGCATCACTAGTGAGCTACCTGCAGCCTGCATGTACCCAGATGGACCGCATTATGCATTGAAAATAAAATATCTCTTTCTCTATCTCTCTTAATATATTTTTAAATTTAGCTTTTCCTCAAATGATGAGAGAGCACAGAAAAAACTAGTTTTTTTGAAGGGCAGCTTTCATATGTGAACACACCCAGTACACCCGGTATTTGAGGTAAAATAGTTGAAATGGTTTTGTGCCTCCTCTTTGTGTATTGTGTTACAATTGCACACATGCAAACAAAACAGGAAGCACCAGGGAGAAAGGTGTTTTTTTGCTAACATACTGTTAGAGATATGCATTTTAGTGAGAAGCAAAGTCTACTTTGAGAGACAATGTCATTTGTCAAAAGGCACAAAGGGTGAATCATTTTTAAATGGCGGTGAGATGATGTCACCAGGTAACTAAAATGGCTGAATGGGATGTCAAAGGGCCAAAGCGCTGGAGGGAGGGGACACTCTGTAGTGGTGCTAACCGCTAACCCATTACACTGCTGCCTTCCTTGCTCCAGTATAAAGTGGCAACAAGTATTTCTCCCATCTACTGAATCGTCCTTCAACACAGCTCGAGATCAGCCTGGACACAAGTTTTTTTACACACACTGACACACACTTGTTATCCTCTCAATCTGAAATACACACAGACATATTTCCCTTGTGCTCTAACCAGTCAGGCTACTTGTAAATGTGTCTGACAACAGTATGCAACCAGAAATAACTAGAAGAGCTTTGACAAGCACGCTAGTCGAAGTAGATTGAGTGGAATCCTAAGATACCAACTACTTTTAGTGATTGTGTGTGTATGCATGAGAGCGGTTTTGCGCATGCATTCCTGTATACAGACATCAACTTTCTTATGAAGTGAGCTATGTGCCCTCATACATTTTTAGAGCTGAGTCACATGTACTAGCATGTGTATTAGGGATATTGATACTGTTGCTGGAAACCAGGGATGCAATGGAGGTTGAAATCACACCACATCTCAACTTTGTATTTATGGTATTTATTTTGCCTTTCCTTTTAGCTTAGGTATAATAAATTATGCTATAATCATAGGATGAATTGCAATACAAAGCTTCTGCAATAGCACTGCCACAATTTTAAATTATTATTATGTGAAGTACTCTGACAGAGCTATAACTACATCAGGTTAAAGACTAGTAGTTTACAGCCATGTTAGCAGCTTTGTGAGGCTGTA